AAAATCTCCCAGAAGTTGAAGCGCGGACAGGAAGGCATCGAGCGAACAACAAAGAAAAAGAATGTAAGTCCCATAGTGGTAGCACCATATCTCCATGCCATCACTCACCGGCTAAAAAAGATCGCAGGCCGGCAAGGGGTCCAAGTGATAAGCTCCGCGCCGAACAAAGGGTACTCAATGTGCGGCAGGGTAAACGAAAACCGACGTAGGCACCAAGAGGCATGTAACATCGCACACAAAACAAGGTACGCCCAATGTCAAAAAGAAGTAATTTATAACATTCCATTAACATGTGGAAGGTGTTATATTGGGCAGACAGGGCGCTGCACCAATGATAGAACCAGGGAACATGCCACATCTCTACGAAACTTGACAGCAGCAGGACACCTTGCAGCCCATTGTCGCGCATGCCAATGCGAGGCAACGTTGTGCAACGTAAGCATCGTGGGGCGACATAAAAATCAACTCGCCCGTGAACTACTGGAAGCCCTAGCCATCGAAGAAAAAGGCGAGGACTGTGTTAGTGCCCCTTCCGTTGCACTACAGAACTCAGAGAAGATTTTCCTGCGGAGTGACATGAGGTCCAGGCAAATGTAGAAGAAGAGGGAGACCGCTTAAAGAAGACAGAAGAAAAGGGATGTGAACATTCCGACAGCAGAAAGGACAATGCGTTTAAGGAAGAGAAATTCCGAATTAAGTGTAAAGAAAAAGAAAACGTAAATCAAGTGTAAATCAAGGATTAGCAGAAAAAGAAAAAGAGGCATCATTAAATGTTGCTAGTCCAGCCGGTGCGAATGTTATTTTTTTTCTCTGTGTGTTTTTCATGTTCAGCTGGCCCCATCCACAAGCACTTGGTTTAGCCTGTGAGCTAAACCAAATGAGCTACGCCTAGAGTATCGGCACTCTTTTCCCCGATATTATTGTGGGCGCCCCCGTTTTGGTGCTTGTGCAGAGCAGACACAACTGCCGATCGTCATGATTCAAAATTGCTACTTCCTCAGCATTAGTTTCGGTGTCAGGAAGCTCACGTAATATTGCTTTGCTTTGAGGCGAACTGTTTAAACATTTGTAGAGGACGGAAAAGCGTTTCCTGCGATTTCAAATAAAGCTTCAGATAACTGACAACCATCATTTTAAGCACCAAGATGTATATGAAACGTAGCTTATTTGGTGGCTCTGGTTTAGCCCGAGCGCACAGGCACACAAAGAGAACAAACTGCTTGACCTCGCGCTCTTGGCGCTGCTTCTGTGGCTTGATCAGCCCGTAGCGTTGGCTGCGCTCCGAACTAAGATAAAGCTAAGCAAATATTCAGATCTTAGGGTTTTACAAACCAAACCAACAAAAATCACTTAACACACGCCAATAAAAAAAAAATTGTGGATTTATTTTGACTAATCGGAGATCCTTTCACGTGCAACCGAAATCTCAGATTGGCCTCCGTCAGATTGCGGGCACCTCTGGCGCCCGACAAATATGGATTCATGGGCCAGCGCGTTGGGCAAGAGACACTGAGACGTTTTAATGTTCTGTGTTTTGTTCTAATCATTGCCACTTAAGAGCGCCGAGGTAGTTTTTTTAAACAAAATACAGTCGAACCATTCCGACAAGCATAGTTTGATTGCGGAAATGTTTTTTTTTTTTTTTGCAAGGAATAAAAACATTAAAATATTTTCACATACGTGGCGGAATTTGACACGGCGGAATGCCTTTCATGGCGCCCATTTCGTTTGGATCGCGTCAAGCGTGTGTAACGAGGCACAGTTGAACGCGCGCAAAAGCAGCTCTGGTGCACCCGCAGCCTCGCGCCTGTTGTTCCGATATCTCTGGCTCGCTCACTGCAAGCATCCAAGCATAGGGTGCCTACATGTGTCTGTCTGTCTCAGGGTGAAGACATCCACTGTTGCCCTGAATGTGCCAGCGCGTGACGCTCTCGCGCACTCGCTGCGTGACTTGGGCGGTAAAATGGCGTGTATGCATTAGCCAAAGCTACGCGCTCGAGCTGAGTGACACCAGATTGCGCGCGCTTCAAAATGCATAAAAAAACGATTGGGCTGTAAAATGGCTGAGATGTCACCACTCAAGCAAAAGCGCGCGTGTGTATGAAGGCACTCTATCCAAGCATCTTACAGCCTGACATCTGGCGCTTTTTCTGTCTTTCACGTGGCGTTCCAAGCGGCACACGACCGAAAATTCACATCAAGCGATTCTTGAACACGTGTCGCCATCTGCAATTTGCCGTAACTGAATGGGAAAAGTTTGAGGTCTAATAACATTCTTAACGTGTAATATATCAATAAGGAAGTTCTGGAAAATGTAATATCGAAGGATGCTTCATAATTTAATGTCTCGTAATTGTGATTAGTTCACGTGTGCTTCAGTGCGCACTCAACCAAGCGAAGGAACCCGCCAGATGAGACCATGAACGTGAGAAATATCGATAAACTTCCGAGTACTATCAGTGTTTGATACGGAGATCAAATCAAGTAGTGCGTTATTTGATGCATCACTCACAGGCTCTGACATCTCTCGCAAGCCTGCCGTAACGACCCGTCCATGTAGCGGGGCCTGACCCATTTTATTTTCAGTATTCATAAAATAAAATTACGTTTTGGCACAATGTTAGCACAAATTCATCACATTTTACAATGATGGAAGCGGTATTTTACCGTAGCAGATTCTGTAGCAGGCAAAATATTGGCTTAGAGCAGCCACTGATGCTTTTGGAGCAGATGCCAATTCATCTGACTTGAAAATGAAAAAAAGTGATTGCATCGCTAAATGAATTGTTTGATAATGACGGAGGGTACCTCTTTGATACTGGAGCGTGTTAATTATTACCTTTTGTAACAAGGATTGGGAGCAAAAGGAACGCAACCCTCCTTCTAGAAATAAGGCTATGGTTAGAGTAGATTTTATTTACAATGGGTACTAAAATTACAGGACGCTTAATTAAGCTTCGGCTGGAACGCGAAAGCCGTGCGTGTCTGCGTGGGCTACAATAAAGGAGAAAAAAAAAAAGTGTGCGTGGCCTAGACAGCATGAGATCCTGTACAATATATTAGACCATGTAGGAGTAGGTGAAATTATCGGAGCTTTTGTACGAATGGCCTACACGGGGTGTACAACACAACGTATAATTATTGGAAAGCCAACAACGCGGGTTAGTGTAAGAGTCATCCGTTAAACAAGGATGCACCTTATCGCCGTTACTCTTCAGTATTTATTTGGAGCCTTTTTGTAGAAATCTATTTAAAAATATTCGAATACGTGGGTTTTCACTCCCAACGATAGAGGTGGAAATGCTTGCCTATGCGGATGACGCTGGGTTGCAGTAGCGAAACTTGGTCGTCCACGCCAGTACGGAAGAACAACATTCATGCTTTCGCATTCACAACTCATAAAGACTAGTGCTTAGTCGCGTTCCTTCTTTTTTTTTTTTTTTTTTTTTTTTTTTAATTAGACATCAACTTGAAGTCAAGACCGAAGAAGGTAAACCTGGAATTGTGCCGAGCATAATTTCCGCGCCTATCGCGCTACCCGGCTACCCCACGCGCTCAGCCCTGTCAGCCGCTGCTCCTAGCACTCCGGTGCAAAGCGGTCGAGCTGGACGCGCGCGCGCCGGTGAGAGGCCGCACGGAGGCGACATGATAATCAATTTATACCATCAGGAGTACACGACCCTGGTTCTGCCTTATCACAGTCGCCGCCTGAACTAGGTCGTAATATTTGACGTGTGGACGTCATCAGTGATGATGACGATGACGATGCGGATGCCGGTGACGTCATCAGTGATGATGATGATGACGATGCGGATGCCGAAGACGTCATCAGTGACGATGATGTCATCGGGGAGGTCAAGTGCGTTTTTTTTTTTTTTTTTTTTTTTTTTTAAACAAAAATGAAGCGGAGCTACGATCCAATGGGACCAGCCAAACAACGTCAAAGCGCGACATCGTGGCATCCGTCATATTCCTCTTCTTTCATAGACTAAACCAGGGGTTTACAAACCCCGGTCCGCGGAGGTCTTCCGACTGGCCCGTGACTGGCCGCGGTCTTGCAACGAAGCCCGAACCACGGCAGGCCTCCGGCAGGGCCGCCGCTACCGGCGCAAAAATAAGCGCACGAAACCTGTCTATCGTAAGGCGTGACCCCTCGTCATATTATTCATTCAACGTGTCATCACAAGTATTACCATCCTTATATCTGTGTAACTACGTATGTTAAAGTTCCTTTGCCAGCACCAGCTCTATCATTCGCAATTTTCTTGTGCTCCGTGTGAAAATTCCATGATTTATGCCTGTCGAGTTTTAATAATTAGTTAAGTATTGGGTTTAAAAATAAAGCATGTGTATTCATCCGCCTTATAATTGTTTTATGCAAACTTTTTTTTTTTTTTAATGCATATCTAGGATTATATTTTCCGACCCTCGAGACAGCGACAGATCCCCCCGAACCTGCCCCTTTGCCAAACAGTTCGGAGACCCCTGGACTGAACGAATCAAGTGCAGGGAATGTCATTGACTTGCGCTTTTAGTACGTCTGTTCGTGGTTGTTCTTGTTCGAGCCTTCCACCGTGGTCTCATCCAAAATTAAATAAATTATCCGGTGAGTAGGGACGCTGACATACATATTTGTATTACTTTCTTTTCCTCCTACTTTTCTGAATATTAAAATCGAACAGAAAAAGTCTTTTTGCTATGTTTAAGCCAATCTAGGCGCAGTGTGGCGCAACTCTGAGCAAAACTGGCACTTGGGCGCAAGATGTAGCAGACTTTCGTTCATGGTGCTAATTATCACCAAAAGTGCAGCACTTCTTTATCGCTGCATTTCAGCGAAATGTAGCAGGATAGAGCAGCGTTGGCACAGTTCGGTGCAAATGGTGCGGCAATCACATCACTGTATGTAGCTTCGACAGCGACGCTGCAGGTAATAGCCAACAAACACTTCTTCGGCACAAAGTGAGTGAGACTCGGCGAGTGAAGTTAGTAAGATGTGCCAATGAGTAGAAAAAAAAAATCTTTATTCCCATATTACATGAACTTTTACAAAGAGCTGACTTGCAGGTCAGCTCGTGTTAATTCCTGCCACTAAGAGAATACTACGTTGCTTATTGCCGACTGCAGCTGGAATAGCCCACTTCATGCCAGGCTGATACAATAGATTGCCCTCACATCACAACAGTACCAACAGATATATATATATATGTGTGTGTGTGTGTGTATGTGATATATAAATAAGGCCTTTTTCATCTACAACAGGGAGAATGGTACTAGGTAAATAAAATAAATACACACAAGATGCGCGGCCCTCAATAAAACAGTGAGCCACGACAAATAAAAATTTTGGTACAAATGTTGTACAAGTCCAAACGTGATGGAAACTTGGGAAAGAATAAGACCCCAATACTATTGACAATACAAGTTGACAGCCAACTTGTATCATGCTCTCTCCTCCGCCGGCCCACTTGCAGTACGCCGGTACACTAGCATAGAGGCTGATCGGGTGCCTGCTCTCTATGTGCTAATGTCAAACAAGCATCAGTCCAACGTGCATATCGTAAATGCTATATTCTTGGCAACAATCTACATCATGTGCACAATACAACAGTGCAGTGCTCCTTGCTTAGACTTCACAAGCTGATGTGTATGCATACAGGTAGACCTGGCAGAGCAAGGAATGCTACCTCGCAAAAGGCTGCATGCACAGTGATAATAGTATATTTGTTCTCTTCAGGCCACGCACCAAGGTAAAAACTATGTTGCTCCGTTACTACTTCCTAATACACTAAGGCATTTGTACCAAGGACTTTCCAACACTGCCAGAGTCGGTCCATATCATTTTCAGATATCGGTATTGGGGTAAAGATGTGCGCATACTGCATAGAAAACCGCAGCAGGTCAGGATGAATTAGATCCATGTTTCTGTCGCAGCAACGCACAAGACTACCCACATTGGAATGCATAGTTTCTACACTCATTTGTGACTACTGAAGAAGTCTACAGCTTTGATCAGGCACAATGCATGCTTTTGTATGCCTCGGTATTTCAAGACCTTCCACAAAGACAGGACCATCAACGCAGGGACAGGTAAGCATGCACAAAAGGAAGGGTAAAAAAAAAAATCACAAAGGACAGCGAAAAAATCTTTGGCATTGGTTAATTGTTCTTTCATTACAAGAAACTTTCCACATCGGGATAAACAAGTCGCAGAAAAGTTTATTTCCAAACTATGTCTTGTTTTGAGGAGATATGAGTCAATGAAACATACCTTCATTTAAAGGCAGCGTCATTTATAATTGCAGTAATTAACTCGACCCCACATTACAGCTTCATCTCAAGAAAATCTATCATCCACGTTAGCACTTCGACAGAAAAATTCGTGTAAGCCAAGCCAGTTTGCACAGCTGTGCTTCGACAAGGACCAAAAGAAAAAAAAAAAAAAAAAAGAGAGATTCACTTATTCCAACTACGAACACTAAGGTCAATCTGTCCAGCGTAGAGCAAGCATGCGCCAAAATAGGAAGCGAACAAGGAGCCCAGCCCTAACACCCTCCACAGGCAAATAAAAATGACTCTGCACCACGATCTCCAGTTGTTTCTCTTAACCCGCACACCCGCCCTCTCACAACACACTCTTTAGAGCAGAGCGCACTGCCCCAGAAACAGAGAAACCCGCTGCAGTCTTTGGCAGTAGGTTAGAACGAGTCCCTTCCCCTGAAACACCCCCATTTAGTACCTGCAAACAACCCGCCAATGAACACTTGCTCGCCGTACACGAGCACAGCGAGCGGGGGCATGGTCCCGCCAGACAGCAGTTGGTAGCCTGCCTTTAGGAATAGAAGGAGGCGTTGTCCTTCTTGAGGACCAGCTCCAGGAGGGTGGGCAGTGCATCCACATTGACCCCCGAGTCCTTGACCTCCTTGAGGCGTGCCTCCAGGTCCCGCTTCTCCTTCCCCACCGCCCACCAGAGGCGGATGGCCAGCACCAGGAGTGGCACCTCCAGCTCGCTGCGCTCCCGCTCGCCCCCGCCCCACGATTGCACCACCCGCTTACCCAGAGCAATCTCGGCGTACTTCTGAGCCTCCGCCACATTGTCCACCGCATTGAGGCATGCCGTCAAAATCGCCAGAGTTACAAACGTGTCCCTGTCACCATCTCCGAGGATCTTCTCCTGCACAGAGTAGGCATTCTCGAGCAGCACGGCGGCATCCTCAAACTGCCCGGCGGCCATCAGGCGGTGGGCGCGGCGGACCTCACGACCCCAGGTGAAGTCGGCGAACTCTGTCGAGCGGCGCAGTTCAGGCGTCGCGTGGACGCGGGCCAGTAGTCGCCGGAAGGCCAGGCTGCGCTCCGTAATGACCTCTGCCGTGAAGTTGCCCAGTAGCGCCTTGCGCGGGAACGGGAAGTCCCGCAGGGGGCATGACGGGTGCCGCCGCCGCAGTCCTACGAACAGTGCCAGGAAGTCCGAGTAACGGCGCTCCAAGACACCTGGGAGGCGCTCGAGTCCTGGAGACTTCTTCACCAGAACCGTGTAGCACTGCGACCCAGAGCAAAGGGTTTTTCCCATGGGCTATGCCAAACAAACAGTTACGTTGTCTTGCAGGCCCCAGAATAATGAGCAAACCTGTCATTTCCACGCAGAGTCCAAGTTCGTCACTCACTCAAAAATAACTCGACAACAAAAATTGCAGCGAAACAATGGACTACCGTATTTTAAGGTGTATAAGTCGCGGTTTCTTTCAAACATTTTTCTTGGTGCGACTTATACAATGATGCGACTTATATAAGATTTTTTTTTTCAAAGTGCGAGAAATTTATATATATATATATATATATATATATATATACTTTGCGCGTCATCTTTTGTAGAGCACCATAACTACGTCGCTGTAGGTGGTGTTTCCCCCACCAGGAGGCACTACTGTCACCGCACTATTTTGACTCGGAATGCAATATATTAATTTTTGTGGTTTCCCCGAAGCGGCTCAATGTGGGTAGGTAAGACAGTGACAATAAAGCTTTTACAGCATGTTATTGATGTTGCCTAGTTAAGCCATGGTTCCGTGTTCTTTTGCTTCAGTCCAGTAACACTGAAAAGTAAATGGGCTGGTATACACGCATTGCAGAATATTTTCTCACGTCTTTCTTAGTTTCCGTCTGATGAGCAGTTTTTTGGTGCCATGCTCGTTGCTACATGCAAAAGGAAGGATCGTGGCTTACCGATCTTTTAGAGGTACCAAAAAAAAGTATGCCAAGCTTTGTCTTTTTGCCTGCGCATCGATGCTTGCGCCGTCTCCAGGACTTTGCCTAGGCTAGGCCTAGTGCTCCAAAGCTTGGTTCGCGAGTGTCTAGCTTCTTAAACTTTCGTTCGTTTGGCATGCGTTCGCTCGAATAAAGTCGGCTACTCTCTCATTTTGCGCATTTTACGTCCTTTTGCTGCGAAACAATCGATTGCCCCTGCCAGACAGCACCATACCATGGGCATTTCTCGCGATTCAAAATGCTCATCAATTGGTACATGCGATCTAGCAATTGCGCGAAACTCCGATTTCGCAATACCAATGTGCGTAAACTAAAGAACTCATAGTGTGAATCATGCAAAGATGTGCAACTTATACAAGGTGCCACTTGTATACCAACTTTTCCATGAAAACGGCTCAATATACAGATGTGCGACTTATACAAGGGTGAGACTTACAGTCCGGAAAATACGGTATGTGTGACAGAAAGAGTGTCATGCATTTAGAATGCTGAGGAAGTTTGTAGTTATTCTTCAGAGAGGATGTAGAACATAAGAATTCAGTTGAGTTCCAAAGCAAATGAGTCCAAATTAAATGGAACACAGCTGAGACTTGTAATGACCAAAGACTCAAATAAACACCTCGAGATGATTTGTTCATCTCGCTGTGAAATTTTAACTACACGGAACATGTCCCAGAAATGAGTGGATGACTATTTGAAACTCCAGAGGATGGAATGCCAACCAGCATAGAAGACGCAAAGAAGAAGAGCTGGCGCTTCTGCCTATTTAAGTGCGCAGCGAAAACTGGCCTGATCTGGCGGCCGAAATGTGAAAAAGAGAAGAGGGGGTTAAATGGATGCCAGTGGAGTTGCGAATAGTAGTTTATCTTAAATAGCATACCAAAGATATATCGTATTTACTCGAGTAATAGCCGCACTATTTATGAAGAAGGTCCTTGCGTCTACCTTCTCACAGAACACATAGCATACAGCCAATCATTGCGTTGCGCATAAATAACATAGCGAATAACCAAATCGAGAACACAATTTTTCATACAAATGCAATCTTCACAGATGGTATCTTCGAACGAAGATGTTATCTGTGTCCTGTAAACAGCTGGAATCATGCTGCCTGTCTTGGTGATTGGCAATCTGCATGCTCCGTGGAAAAGCGAACCCTCTGGATTTCCTTATAAACAGTGTGGCTATTATTCGAGTAAATACAGTAACTCTTTCATTCAGCTTTTCATTTCTGATCTTTAACACTCTTCTGTCCTCAACTCTGGATGCTGTGGTTTATGTATAAACTGTAAACAACATAATTTTTGTGAGGACCTAATTTCCTTGCATTTTGCAACTCTCAAACTATCACAAAAAATTGATCATGCAAATATATCGGCCTATAATAATGAATATATAGCATATCACTTTAAATCGCGAAATTCCATACTCGCAAAATATTCTCGAAAACTACTTTGTAAAATTTGTAAAATATAGAGCCCACACAAATTAAGTTGTTTACAGTATGTAGTAACCAAGCTTAACTAAAGTGCAGGCAGGGTGTACTCTACTCCCTTTTTCTATATGTGAGGTTTTCTGTCTGTGCTAGGCTTTGTTTCTTTTCTGTGTACTTACATGTGTGCTACAAGCTACTGGAGAGGCTCCACTGCCAGATTTGAAATAAATGGCATCACTATGCTGTTTAGTACAAATGCAGCATTCTTCCAAAGTCTGAACAGTACCGCCTCGCCACGGAACAAGTGTGGCGAACTTTTGCTCACATTTCTGACAAACACCGTGAGATGGCACAGCACGTAAAAGAGAGCCAATCAAGGAGTCATCCTTATTCGTGCAAATATTTACAAGGTCGTGCAGCACGCGGCCGCTCCTGTGTGAAGGCGTCAAACCGACAGTGCTCCTGCTAGGAGAAGCACGAAGCACGACCAAATTTTGCAGCGTGAGCTACACTGGCCGAGGTTGAGCAGTTTCGCGTGGCTCGCATAATGAGCCGTGCTCCGTGCTGCGCATGTGCGAGGAGCAGTGACGTCACACGGCGCACAGCTGGCGCGCCAAAGCCGCCGCCGCCGCCGCGCGCGCCTCGCCGGTCTGCGCATTCCAGAGGAGTGACGTCATAGCCGCGGCAGACGCACTGGTGCCGTTGCGTGCCCAGCTGTGCGCCTCAGTTGCGCAGTAGCCAAGTCTGACGCTGCACCGGAGCCGCTTGATAGCGCCTCTCATTTTGTGCTCATAAGCTCACGCTACGTATATCCTGGCATAGCCGAACCAAGCCACCGCAATTTTTGACACCTTGGATGGCCTTGTTCAGACACCTCTCCACCGTGGGAATAGCATCCATTTGCACCTTTTTTTTCAAGGCTAATGCCCACAAAAACAAAATATAAAAAAAAAAAAAAATTTTCATCATTTCTTATTTTTTGTAACAATGTAGATATGATAGTTGTCTACTCGAAAAGCAAGTCAAGAAAGTGTGTATTTTGTTTGTATGTTCTATATTTAAGCATCAATATCATAGAAAAACATGTTTTTACGGCTCGTAACGCACTTGCGAACTGCATGTCTTCACAACTTGGAAATATTCTTGCCTTTTTTAGTTTCACCCTGTTATATTTATTGATCATTTAAATTTTATTATAGGCGGCAAGCTACATTGAAGGAGTTCAAAAGAGAAAGTAACACTTCTTAACAGACCAGCAGGCGTCGTAAATTTTAATGTGTAGAAATCGGCAGGCGTCGTATTGATTCGGGGCCCTTATTGGCCTATATGAACGTCCCATTCTCTCGGAACCAGCAGATGATCACGACCTTTCGCGCTCGTTGTGTTTGATAGGATGGCCCGTGACAGTAAAGCGAGCGGCAAACCCTGTGTCGCGAGGAGTGAAATGGTATGAATATGTCTTTGACGCGACGAACGGTGGAGGGCTACCCAGGAGGAGTCAGTCAGTCAGAGTATTGAAGAAGGGAAAGCAAAGGAAGTGTTGCTTGGGGGGATGAGGACACCACGGCTTTACAATATCGGCGGTCAACAACAGTTCTGCCGGCCAAAACGCCGCGTGCGCACTAAAACCAGCGGCATGCACAGGACAACAATCCCGCAGACGCACACACGAAGATGGGCCGGTTCCGATAGGGATTTGAACAAATTTTGAAACCAGCCAACCGTGCACGCGTGAAACGATACCGCATATTTTCCCAAGCTTCGAGCGCCCTGTCCTTGAAACGGCCGTGCTCTATCTCTCTCCGCGGGGATCCGATAGCACCAAAGGGTTGTCTCTTTTAGAAACAGCAAAGCCCGGAGACTAGTTGTGTCGAAGTCAGCCTCCTTGTCAACTATAACCGTTTGTAAAGAGTGGTCTTCTCCAGAGATGAAAAGTTAGCATCGGCTGACGTGTTCTTCTAGAAAAGGGAAGGGGAAAGAGGAAGTTTGATTAACTACAGTAACTACCTCGAAAGCTCCTCTCCCGATATGAAACTCGAGGAACGGTATACGTCTCGGTCACCTTCTCGCGCATCGCTGCTCCAATCTATTCTTCACTTTGTTCCGCACAGCCACTGTTCCGCACAGCCGTCGTGGCTGTGCGGAACAGAGTGAAGAAGAGATTCGAGCATCATCAGGACGCCGTCATCCTGCCAGGCTTCAGTGTCATGGGGCTGGACTCGGCGTCGGTCAGTTAAGACTTTTTTTTTTTATTTCGTGTGTGTTTCTTCGCTCCGCTGAACTTTGTTTTTCAAATGCCATTCCGCTGGATTTTTTTTTTAATGTTTTCTTACTAACCCTTGGTTAGTATTGTACTTGTTAGGTTTATTTTGTCATGGCGTAGCGGCCTGATGGTGCTGTTGAGAGCGTGTTCACATGCATTTGGTTGCGTTCTGTTCAGGGAATGCCCGGAGAAGTTGGCTTTTGTTCACGCCGTGTGCAGCCGAGTTTTTCCGTCTTGATTAAATTTTTGTTGTTTGTTTTACCTTTACGTGTCATCGAAGTCTTTGTCTGACTCTCCACCAGGCATGGACCTATCGCCTTGCCACCGCTCAAACCTAAATCTTTTATTTATTTTTTTTAACGTAATTTTCGTTAAGTCCGGAGTTGGGTAATTTTATTCGTATTTATTTATTTTTATTCCCTACCCCTCTCCATGACGATCTCTCTGTGTGTTTCGGACCGTTTCTGGGTCTTCACTTTTGTGTATTACGGAAGTGAAAGGACATTCCGTGGTGATCCGTGCTATGTGCGGTGAACAATCCCTACGGTTTGGTTTCGGAAAGAATGGTATATAATAT